TTTAAGCACGAAGCCCCGCCAGAAGTAGCTGTGGATCACATAATGGGAACCAGCGGGCTCTGTGCTTAAAGGGAAAGTGAAGTGGAGCAAGCCGCTGATTTCACCCCCATCTGATGAAGTCGCTTGTCTGAAATTGTCCACAGACTGTTATGTTGCTTATTGATTCCCGGAATTCCTAAATAAGTGTAAACCTGTATGTACAAGGGATTATATGTGCATGCAGAAAAGATCAAACAAGCCATGGGGTTATTCACAGATTCAAATTTGTCTCCACGTAACAGTCCCCAAGAGTCTCTGGGGATGCATTCACACAGAGAATCGCTAAAACAAAGTAGAATCCCAACAGATACAGTTGGGCTTTTTTAGCAGCAATTTCTGTAATCACAGCAACACAATTTGCAGCACCATGATAACAGGAATCATTCCTGAGAAGTAACAGCTGCATCTGCTGAAAGCTCAGTTAATATGAAACATTCTCTGCATGATGCATCCCTGGAGAGCATGGTGGGGAGATGAAATTGACTGCATGGACTGTCCTAGAGTCGGTTATTTGGTTTCAGTGCAACAGTTTGCTTTCAAACATGACATGGAAAATGTTGTAGTAGTAATGAATAGCACAAATCTCTTTTTCTTTCCCTGACCTCTTCTCTTTTGCCAAAACAGAGAAATTTTGTTATACTTTCTAAACTAATATTATCAAATACAAACGGATGTCTCTGACCTTATGTTCTCAATATATCTGACACAATACATCTGACCTTATGATCACCAATACAAACATTTTCATACATTTTCTTTTGCAGAATCACGGGCTTTACAACTTTAAAAAGAAAACAAACAGGAAGTAATCATGATGAAAAATGGTTGGTATGGTTTGTAATAAAAAGGAACCGAAATGTCCAGAGAGCTGGTTGCTGGCATTTTGTAGAAAAGATGCGAATGACGTGAAAACTACAAAAAAAACTACAAAAACTACAAAAAATGTTGAAAGAAAACATTTTCATTCTGCAACTCCCAGAACAGGAGCAATGCAGCAAAATTACTTTATCAAGCTTTGCAAATAATAATAATAATTAATAATAATAATAATAATAATAATAATAATAATAATAATAATAATAGAATTAGAGAGACCACAAGGGCCATGTAGTCCAACACTGAGTATGATCCTATGGTCAGGAATATTAAGAGGGCAGGAAGTTGAAGTTGCTGGACCATCTCTTCCAACAAGTCCACCAATAAGGGGGAGGAAAATAGCAGATACACTGAGCATTTTGACACACTTCTGGTGAAGTGGAGGGCTCTGGAATCTGGGAAAGAGACTATTCTTGAGGTTTGCATGAAAGTTATGCTTCTGCATTGGGAAGGGGGAGTAATTGAATGAGGAGCAACTCAGCTATTTGACTGGCCTCATGATCCAGGTGTTTCACCCAGTAGAAGGCTGAGAATGACGTAGAAGCTACACCAGCTGATCCTGCATTATAGTATTCATCGCTTCTTGTTCCTTTTGAGATCTGCAGCAATTTGCTTTGACAACTAGGAGGGAGATCCACAAAGTCAATGACGTGTTCAGCTATAGACTAAACATATACAGTGGGCCCTTGGCATCTGCTGGGGTTTGGTTCCAGCAACTCCTGTGGATACTAAGATCTGTAGATGCTCAAGTCCTGTTTATACAGTGATGTAGTGAAATTTCATTTCTTTGATGGAAATGGTCTGAGTCTCACACTCAAATCGAGTCTTGAGTTTAAATGTTCAATGGCTAGAATTGTGTATGTCACACTGTAGCATAATAGGTCTGCATGTGGGATTGTGCTACAGATCGCCATCAAACCCCCTGGATATACTGCTGAGCTGCTGCAGACTCAGACTGGATCTACACTACCATAAAAAGGTCCAGATTATCTGCTTTGAACTGAATTATATGGCAGTTTAGATCCAGCCTCACTCACCTGTCGCTATTCGTTGGAGAGGAAGGGGAACCTGTAGAAGGATCTGGCCATGACTCTTTAGCCAGATGCAAAATGATTGCATTCTCTACTAAAGTCTTCTGGGATGGGCTAGAGCAGTGTTTCTCAACTTGTAGGTTGGGACCCCTGGTAGGGAGTCACGAGGAGATGTCAGAGGGGTCACCAAAGAGCATTAGAAGACACAGTATTTTATGTTAGTCATGAGGGTCCCATGTGGGAAGTTTGGCCCAATTCTATCACTGGTGAGGTTCAGAATGCTCTTTGATTGTAGGTGGACTATAAATCCCAGCAACTACAACTCCCAAATGTCAAGGTCTGTTCCCCCCCAAAACTGCACCAGTGTTCACATTTTCCAAGTTTGGTCCAGATCCATCATTGCTTGAATCCACAGTGCTCTCTGGATGTAGGTGAACTGCAACTCCAAAACTCAAGGTCAGTGCCCACCAAACACTTCCAGTATTTTCTGTTGGTCATGGGAGTTCTGTGTGCCAAGTTTGGTTCAATTTCCTCATTGGTGGAGATCAGAATGCTCTTTGATTGTAGGTTAACTATAAATCCCAGGAACTACAACTCCCAAATGACAAAATCAATTGCCTCTCCCCAACCCCACSAGTATTCAAATTTGGGCATATAGCGTATTTGTATCAAATACATCCTGCATATCAGATATTTATATCATGATTCATAACAGTAGCAAAATTATAGTTGTGAAGTAGCAACAAAAATAATTTTATGGTTGGGGGTCACCACAACATGAAGAACTGTATTAAGGGGTCACGCCATAAGGAAGGTTGAGAAACACTGAGCTAGAGGTTTTAGTGAATGATAAAATCATTTCACATGTGAATATGGGTGCAAAGAATTGTGTTTAATAGCACATACAACATGATCAACAGTTCATTTTCCAAATCCAGTCAATCAATTCCTATTACATATAGAAATTGACTTGTTCACCAATTCGTATAGTWTAAACACATTCTTGAGAATGTAGAAACTTGCCCAAAACTGCAAAAGTTATTCTGCTCTGAGAAGATATTCTTGATGAAACAAACATATTTTTGGAATTTCTTTCAATTCAATGAAAAATGTATAGTGTGAACAAAAAAAATTGGGGGAGGGGGGTGGGGGGGTGGGAGACAGGAAGACAGAGATAGAATGAATGAAGCCCTGTACAAAAACACATAAGTCCTTCATCCTGACTGCTGCTATTAAGTGAAATTTAATTATCTTTTGCACAAATCTAAACAGAGGGAATTAAATTATGGCCTATTGGTTAAGTCTGTTTTATACAGCCTTATAGATTCAAACTAAAGAAATTCACTTACTAGGACAAATCCTTTCGCTTACCAGCACTACTATCAAAAGCCCATAGGAACTATACCAAAAATCATTATAAAAAGCACGAGAAATATAAAAAGCACGGAATTATTCTCAGGAGAAGAGGAGAATCTCTGTGTGTTTTGAAGACACAGCAAGCAAACCATGAAATACAGAGTTGAAACGTTTGGGATCACTGTGAAAAGTTTCCATGTTCCCTCTTGTTAAATAATGCTCCAAGACAGTCTAAAGCATATGAATAGTTCTTTCACAGGTCACAGATTCTATTCAGTTCTTGGACATTGTTATTATCCAACAGAAATAGAGAGCCCTAATTAATATTCTACACATACCTGGGAGAACACTCTTAAGGAATTCATCCTCTGGTGGCTTAGCTTTTTAAGGAAACATCACACAGCAAGACATTAAAATTGTAACTTGTTAATGCACTGTAAACCCAGTGATACTATTAAAAGTTTAATTTAATAAAGGCACAACCACCAAATAGACTTGTTTACCCAGTTTACCTTGTCTTTTACTATGCAATCGTGCTAAAGTGTGTATTTGAGTTGAACTGTGAAGTCATTTTGCAAGTAATTATATTCTTGGCATTTTTCTGAATATAATATAACAATTACCACAGCAATTACATTTTATTGGGATGCCCTAAGAAAAGACAACATTACTATTATGGAGAGAAAACATTTTTCAGGCAATGTTAATATTTGCTCTGATGCACATAGCCCCCTGTTATAGATTTGTTTGGATATTTCTGTGACAGACAACAGTTCTAGACTTTGATTCCTGGAGCTTAACAAAGACAACTTTTTAATAACTCATGTGTTTTTACTTAATTTTTCCTTCTTTTTGTGATATACCTCTAAATATATCTGTTTATGTTTAGCATAATAGAATCATAGAGTTGAAAGAGACCACATGGGCCATCCAGTCCAACCCTCTGCCATGCAGGAAAATCACAATCAAAGCAAACCTGGCAGATGGTCATCCAGCCTCTGTTTAAAAGCCTCTAAAGAAGGAGTTTCCACCACATGCCAAGGCAGAGATTTCCATTGTTGAACAGTTCTTGCAGTCAGGAAGCTCTTCCTAACGTTCAAGTGGAATATAATTTACTGTAATTTGAATCCATTCCTCCAAGTTCTAGTCTCCAGGGCAGCAGAAAACAAGCCTGTTCCCTCTTCCTTATGACATCATTTCAAATATTTATACATGGCTATCATGTCTCCTCTCGACCTTCTCTTCTGCAGGCTAGACATACCCAGCTCTTTAAGGGCATGGTCTCCAGACCTTTGATCATTTTCATCACCCTCCTCTGGACACGATCCAGCTTGTCAATATGTTCCCAGCTAATTTTAAGAAAATTGATGCCATGATCAATTTCCTGGTAGACTGTATTTGTGCATTTTTCACATAGCTTTTTTTTTTTTTGGAGGATTGGGGCTATTTTCATAGGGAGAAAATAATCTAATTGCTCTGGCACACAATAAAAATAAATAAAACTCATCTATTTTGGACATATACACAAATTCAACATAGAACTTTGGGCAGAATATAAATATACAGCCAAGAAGTATACAGACATGACCTAATTGATAGTATTATGAGAAAACAATGTTTTGAAAGACCTTGGATCAATTCTTCTGTCTGGCTCTGTCTGAATGTTCTTGGATCTGAATCACAACTTCTATATTTCAGCTTCCAGGGTTTATCCCTCACTCTTCTGCTGTGTCTGCTGGGTGCCTTTCAAGAATCTCTTCTTTAGTTAAACTGTTTGACTTTTCCTGCAAGTAAAGACTGCAGGATATGTGTTTTCCATACAAGCCCTCAGTTTGATAGGTTGAGTATCTCTTATCTAAAGTGCTTGAGATACGAAGTGCTTGTGATTTTGGGATACCTGTATTTGCATATACATAATGAGATATCTTCGAGATGAGACCCAAGTCTAAACACAACATTCGTTTATGTTTCACATATGCCTTATACATGTAATCTGAAGGTAATTTTATATACAATATTAATTTTGTGCATGAAACAAGGTTTGTGTACACCAAGTATTCAGCCACTTATTTGTACAATTTTGGATTTCAGAATATTTTGGATTCTGGAAATACATCTTTTTATTTGAATCTACTTCTTTAGGAGCCTTTCTTGAAGCACTACATCATTTGAACGTCATATGATATTGAACTTACAAACCTTGGTTATAAGAGAAATGTCTTGTATGAGTATGTTTGTTTATAATACATTAACCATATTCCTTTGGATTCTGCTTCATGAATCATTTGTCTGTCCCATGTAAGGAAGGTTTTATATTAAGAAACCTGTATTGTGAATCATTGTGTAGTATACTTTGAACTTCGACAAGCTTTGTTTGTACATTGAATGCTCCATGACTATAGAATACATATGAAAAACATTCTTATGATTTATATTATTAGATTATATTATTGTCTGCTGGAATTTAAGACACAATTCTATTTATTTATTTATTTCCTGCTTTATTTCTCCATATGGAGACTCAGAGCAGATCACATTTAAAGACATTACAATACTTTAAATGTACAATGCAGAGATAGTTAGTGAGAAGCTTTACAGCTGTTGGGAAGGATAGCTGGTGAAGTGGAGAGACAGATCCAGAAAAGGACTGTCTGTGAGGAGTTTAGGATTACTGGGCAGAGAGGAAGTCTGTCAGTAATTTCTGGAGGGAGAGAGGAGTGTTATGTGCAACTAAGTTTTGAACTGCTTAAAGAAACTGTACACTTTATTCAACATTAAAACAGCTAAGCTTAATGCCTGTTTTGTTCAAGTTCTCTCAAATAAATAACATTGTTATTTGTTCACAACATCTGTCTCATTTGTGCCTCTGTGTGAGAAGTTTCCAAGAAGTTTACTGCAGAAATCAAAGTTTAAATGGCGGCAGCGTGTATTTCTAAAAAAGAATATCTTTAGTGTTACCTCAGAGCACAAAGCCTGAGTGTGAACCCAGCACATTCTAGCCTAAAAATACCCCAAGTAAGCCAAGGGCTTAACATTTCTTTTAAGTGTGGTGGTAGCCCGTGTTCTTTTGAAAGGTTTTTTGGCCAGGAGATCATTATACCATGCAGCCCAAAAAACCTAAAACAACCCTATGAATTTTAAATTTATATTCTGTTGGTATTGTACTGAAATCTTTGTGCTATGCATTTTGATATATGTATGTTATGGGAACGTGTTTTAAATATTTTTTATTTAATATTTTATGATAATGTGTTGTACCCTGTCTTGGACCATGAGGAAAGATATGTAACAAGTTGTTGTTGTTGTTGTTGTTGTTACTATAATATTTCATATGTGTTTGGGGCTTAATTATTTTACCCAATTATTACATATCCATAGTGTTAACTGTTTTAGTAATTTTTAATTGTTGTGTAGTTTAACATGTTTTTGGACTGTAAATCTTTTTTCTACTCTTTTCATATTTTAAGTGTATATGTGTTAATCTTGAGAACTTTGTATATAGGGCAAGATACACACACATATACACACATACAAATATATACACACATACAAACAAACAAACAAATGACCAGCCCTTAACTTTTCTATTACATTCAGGTTTAATAGAAAAAATGTTTGATCTAGTTATGATTTTGTTGGCCAACAGTGCCCATCCTGCTTCAAGACAAGCCTGGCAATGCACACATTTTACTTCTCAGAAAAGGCAGAAATAAAACACCCAAAGGGAGGAAGGGCAGAAAAGAAAATAAGACAACATAGGTATGCACTATGCATAAAATGTGCATATGCTGAAATATTGGTGGAACTTTAATTAGTATAATTTAAATAGAAATACAAAAAAATCTCATTTTATACCAAATAAGACAGATGAAGTGACCATTCAGTCTGTATTCTGCACACTGTTAATAGTCCCCTTCATGGCACCTGTCACCTTCTTAGAAATAATTCACTTAAACTTGGGCCTACACCTCTTTAAAAAGAGGTTTTTCTGTTCTAATATGGCTTTAGTTGCAATTTTATACTGCCCCAAGACTACATTTGGTATCAAAACTGCCATACATTACTGCTATAACAAACTTGACTAACAGTAAAGGAAGGTCTGCAGCAGAGAAAGCATTCCAGCCTTCTAAATGATGGATTCAAGCATTCCCATCAGCAAGAATGCAGTCCCTAAGCAACCAATTCTACTCAAATTGCCAAATTCTTGGCACTCCAGTTCACTATTGCTGGCTAAAAATTTGCCTGGATTGGACTGAGTCTAATGGAAGATGGATTCCCAGTATTTATACAGAAGAAAAACAAATGGAAATGGTGTGACCATCTTCCATTGCAATGGCTCTGTGAGCAGTACAAGCAGGCTGGTAATCGATTCCTAACCATTTATTTCTTCCCTACCTTGAACTTCCAACTTAAAGTGAAAATCTTGTAGGGTCCCTTAACCTCAAATTAACTCTTTCTATGTCACCAAACTGCCCATTATGTTAAAGGACTGTTCATAGACATACACTTACTATGCTATTTTTATGCTTACTACATTATTCTCTGCATTCTTTCACATAAAGGACCATCTTGGATACTTGGCCACACCATTCAACACCATGGCAGTCATAGATCAAATCAAGAGTTGGTATCTGAATGGTTCAGAAGCGTTTTGTCATATTTTTGAGGGCATATCTGCTACACAGAAAATTATGAGAATGTTATCTTAAACTTTGAGTGCACTAGTGGAAAAGTATTATATACATGTGACACGGGATCCATGATCAGATGTTCAGTAGTAACTACACAGAGGCATGGACACTATATTTTAGACAACAAGCCATAGAATTTCCCTGGCTAGGACTGAATAGTCTTATATATTAGTGTATATGCAAAGTTAGGTTAAATGTTTAGAAAAAGTAAGTCAATAAAATAAAATAGAACTTACAGCAACCCACTAAAACAGAACGACTATATGCAAAATCAAGAGCAAAATTTGGCCACGGTGTGGTTAATATAATCAGTTTTCCTCTCCCACTGGTTTTGTACATTTAGAATTCAGAGCACTATAGCACTGCAATGTTTCAGCGTTGTTCTCATCTTACATTTCTGTATTGCATGCATAAATGAATGACAGCGTATGACTAATTATCACATCTATTCTCCATGCATACATAGAGGCGGTATTGTGGGTTCCTCCCACGCATAAGTCCTCTATTGTCAGTGGCAGGCTAGACATTATTTTAATCTACAGTATGAAGCTTTTTTTATTAGAGCAATAAGCTCACAGCTGAATGGAGTACCTCCTAACAGAAAGACAAATATCAAACTATCTGCCTGCTGAAATTCTTCAGCTGAGCGATTACAACCTGAAACTGGCTGTCAGGCATTTAGTATTTACACCATGCTATGGTGAAATGCAGTTTAAAAAATCCCATCAAAATAAATAGGGCCATTTATTTCTAGGATATAGAAGAAAACTCAGTTTCTTTGTCCTACTACTTCAATGTCTCTTGATGGCATTTTCCCTGTTTTTATTGCCTTTTAGATATAGATCTTCCACTGCTTAAGTATCAGGAAAGCTACTGGAACCAAATATCTAAATATATAGCAGATGCTCAAGTGCATCTTGGGATAAATACATTAAAGGCAATTAACAGCTCTCATACTCTTCAATTACAATTTCACCTATTACTGTAATGTACACTTGTGTCTTATTAGTGATGTAATGCATATTTTGAACCAGCACACAGGTTCAAAGGTAGCAGGGCAAAATCTGTTACCTGTGCTTTTCAGAACAGAAGTAACAAACACATTGCTCATCACTTCAAAACCAATCATGTAGCAATTGTAGAATGATGAGTCCTGTGCTTGGTGGAGACCATGCCAAGGCTCTCACAAGAAGTATTAACTCGGTGATTGGCATCCTGTTGGTTAGTCCCAACAAGGGTAGACTCATTCAATCAATTGTTCAATGCTGAGTCAACATTAGTGTCACTAAGCTGAAAATTGAAAAGGGCTGAATAGAAGAGGAAATTTTAGTGTTTTTTGTTAAAATTAACCCTTCTACCCAAACTTTAAAAGGTACAAAATTCTTCAGTCTGGCAATTTATTTATTCACTATACTTGTATACCGCCTTTCTCAGCCTATTGATGACTCAAGGCAGTTTACAACAAGTCAGTACACATAATAGCAAAGTACAGATTAAGCATTAAAACAATATAAAACTACAACAGAAACAATAAAACCAACATCATTAGCATCTCCTAGTTAAAAACTTTGTCCAAATTCCATTGTCAAGTGATTTCATTTGCTATGTCAGTTACTCTGCATTTGTAAATGCTTGCTCAAACACCCATGTCTTAACTTGTCTCCGAAATGTTAAGAGTAAGGGAGCCGATCTAATCTCCTTAGGGAGGGCGTTCCATAGCCAAGGGGCCACCACAGAGATGGCCCTGTCTCTCATCCCTGCCAAACGTGCTTGTGATGAAGGTGGGATGGAAAGCAGGGCCTCCCTGGATGATCTTAAAGTCCTAGATGGTTCATAAGGGGAGATGCATTCAGACAGGTAAATTGGGCCAGAACTGTTTAGGGTTTTATAGGCTAAAGCCAGCACTTTGAATTGTGCCCAGTAGCAGATTGGCAGCCAGTGGAGCTGGTGCAGCAGAGGAGTTGTATGCCCCCTGAATGCCGCTCCTGTTAGCAATCTGGCTGCCGTCCATTGGACCATTTGAAGCTTCCAGACAGTCTTCAAAGGCAACCCGCCATAGAGCGCATTGCAGTAGTCTATATGGGATGTAACCAGAGTGTGGACTACTGTGGCCAAGTCAGGCTTCCCAAGGTACGGGCGCAGCTGGCACACAAGTTTTAGCTGTGTGAATGCTCCCCTGGTCACAGCCAAAACTTGGGGTTCCAAGCTAAGTGATGAATCCAGGATCACACCCAAGCTGTGAACCTGCCTCTTCAGGGAGAGTGTAACCCCATCCAACACAGGTTGTAACCCTATGCCCTGTTCAGCCTTACAACTGACCAGGAGTACATCTGTCTTGTCTGGATTCATTTTCAATTTGTTCACCCTCATCCAGACTGTCACAGCAGCCAAGCACCGGTTCAGGACCTGAACAGTCTCCTTAGTAGAAGGTGGAAAGGAGTGACAGAGTTGGATACCATCTGCGTACAAATGACACCACACCCCGAAACTCCGGATGATCTCCCCAGCAGCTTCATGTATATGTTGAACAAAATGGGGGACAGTATTGAGCCCCAAGGAACCCCACAAGACAATGGTTGTGGGTTTGAACAGGTGTCCCCCAACAACACCTTCTGGGTGTGACCCTCCAGAAAGGACTGGAGCCACTGTAAAACAGTGCCTCCCAGGCCCATTCCTAGTCAACACATAGATAAATATAATGGTTTCATTGGGCCTACTCTACACATGACTAAAATAAATTCATGGCCATGAATTTCCAAGACCTGGGTAGGTCAGTTGATGATTGGAAATCTTGGAATTATAGAATCAGCCTAAGACTGTCAACTTAATGACAAGGAACGCAGCACAAGAAGTGGGACGTGGCAGGGGGTCTATGATTGAGATAGGGAATGGGTAGCCATTTAGTATAACTGAACAGAAACTTCAGTTATCTCTTATCATTGGCTCTCCTGGATAGGACTGATGGAAATCTAATAATAGCTGGAAGAGCACTCATTAGTATCTTATATGGATGGAATAAAGCAGAGGTATAGGAATTGTGGTCTGAAGGCCATATTGGTCTCAGTTCTATTTCTGTGGCCTACCATGCTTATCAGTATACCCTTAAAATGAGGCAAAAAGTTTTCACCCCAAATTACAAAATGGTGCAAGGTTAC